TTTTATTGCAAAGAACGCACGCTGCGAGAGCACATGTTAGTTGCTCATGCTTTGAATATGGTGCGTTCTTTCATTGTTAGTTCTCATTCATATTGTACATACATTTACTGTGATTCGTATATTCTGGACTTACCAAGAAGTGGCAGTTGGTTGTGAGAAATGACTAGAAGCTGGTTGTGCGAAAGCAAAAGGACAGACTTTTGGGCTAGTTCGTTTGATCTGTTCATTGAAGCCATTGCGCTGATAAAAGTGGGACCGCAGAACCACAGTACTGTTCCATTTCTGTGGTCCCTGTCATCTCAGCGCTGTGGCTTCAGTGAATGTGACACTGTGGGGAGTATAGTTACATATTCCGGCGTCCCTGTTTTCGTGTGGCCCATTTCAAAATGCGCATTCTCATGTTGTACAACGTAATTTGTATGGGAACTACAACTCGCGTTGTTGTAGAGTGTCAGGCCCCGCCGCGGTGGTCTAGTGGCTAAGGTACTCGGCTGCTGACCCGCAGGGCGCGGGTTCGAATCCCGGCTGCGGCGGCTGCATTTCCGATGGAGGCGAAAATGTTGTAGGCCCGTGTGCTCAGATTTGGGTGCACGTTAAAGAACCCCAGGTGGTCTAAATTTCCGGAGCCCTCCACTACGGCGTCTCTCATAATCATATAGTGGTTTTGGGACGTTATACCCCACAAATCAATCAATCAATGTAGAGTGTCAGGCTCAGCTGTGCTGCCAAAAATGGACAAGGTGTCTTCACTTCGTTGTTGATAGGAACGCCAATGCCCGGATCCTAATGCGTATCGCGAACAGTTATGACTTCAGGTGTTGTGACCTCCTTAACGGCGTAATTTTTGTCGCCATGGCTTTATCAAGTGCGAGGCCCACGGGAAAGCTTTACGCTCTCCCATAGTTGGGTACCCCGTACTCTAAATCACTAACATCATTTTTTTAAACACGCAAGTTCACGCCAAAGTAAATGATATTAGTTCCGTTACTGTTAGGAAGGAAACAATACATTAAGATATAAAGTCGTATTGGTCCAGGCAGTTAGTTTGTAGCTTTTTTTATTTGTTTGTTTTCAGGCAAGAACTATTGCATGGTGGTTCGAAGCCACAAGTACATTAACCGTATAGTCTTGATAGTCACTGTACATCCGGCGCTCAAATTGTTGCCAAGTTTTTCTCAAAATATGTATGCTTCGGATATAGGCTAACCAGGAGTTACAGGGAGGCCGAGGGGTTCCAACTCACTGAAAGCCTCTGAAAATTATCAGATTTACATAAGCAACGTATATAGAAATGCACGAACATAGATAGAGCATGGTAAACGCCTCTCCCACAGCCCCAGAAAAAAAATTCTGGCTACGACACTGGCTTCGGATTGATAATTTGGACATGCCAATTATCAGAGACGGCTATTTCTGGCGCCAGTGCCTTCATTTTTGAGTGAAGTTATTGCATTTTATTGAAAAGCGATCACGACAAGTGTTGCAGACTATGTCGGCAGGTTAGGTTTTCTACAGCTGCTCGAAGTGGAGCGCACTACACTCTGATTTATTAACAAGCAGACCACATAGCTGTTGCGATAAGGATCCACACAGGCTCGTAGAATGGTACGTCGAGATCATATGACTTCATGCTGCGACGTATCCCCGGATCCTTACTTGTGCAATCCTATAGGTGGTGGTGTTTGTGTAATCGTTGTTCGGGCGCCGGCGTGCCTTGGAGAACGCCTTCTGCCACACGTGTACTGCACGAAAGAACAAGTGTCATTACATTACGTGACGTTTATTTTTCCTGGAACGTATGGTATTCGAGAGGCTGGCAGACGCTTCCGGCGTTTTATAACGAAGAACGAGAGAAAGAAGAAAATGTCCACGCAAGCACGTGGCGTCCGGGGAGCTCCGAAGCTCACCACTTTTGTAATTTTTTTTCGTTTGTTCAAAGGCAATATATGTGGGCGAATAGGTTTCTGTTCAAGCAGTCGCAGCTGCATTGGCTGCACGAAACTGATGCTAGCGTAAAGCCGCCGCCAGGTAGGTGAGTTATATGTACACTGATTTTAACTTTAGAAAGATTGTGCAAACACCAACTTGAAATTTTTATGCGTTTTTGTTGTTTAAAGTTGTTTATAGACAAAAATAAACAATTGAACAAAAACAGTGAAGAAATTAAGTGAAGAAATTGAGCTGAATCTCTATGACGACTGGAAAGAGATATCATTTACGCGATTATATTTTACGTGAGTAGATTGAATGAGAGCATATTGCACGAGAAGTAATTATGCATATAAATTATGCATATCATTGAATAAATGTTAAGCAAAACTCTCCTTGTTTTCAAAATCATTTTGTAAAATTTACGTGAACACTTCGTAGTGTTCGAGGAGTTTTTCCCGAAATACGAACTTTGTACAAATGTGACCATCATACCTGAAATAAAATGAAATTTCTGTGCAAAAGTGATGCATTGATGCAAGCGACTGCACCTATGTGCAAATTTGCCCCAAATTTGCATTTAACTTATCAGATGCAAAGTACGTGCTTCTGTCGTTTTTTTTTCGCTGCTCAACACTGGCTAGACTGTCACAATAGCTTCTGTATAGTAAAGCTTTTCCAGATATGTCTGAGTTTGTAATTTTAAATGAAACAGATGAAACTCAAGGAGCTCCAAATGTGATTCCCTTTAAGCTCAGTGCGCGGTGCGCTATTCCAAACAGCGAACTACGATACGCGCAGGTAAAAGGAACCGTTTCATGCCTCCATTTGTGGAGGTAGCGCTTAGGCTATTCATGAACTGCTTAAAATTATGATAACATTTTGGAAGGCATCAGTATGGAGAAGCGAAAATGAAATTACATAAAGAAAGCTCTGGAGTTCAGATTTTCTGTCACTGCACTCTCATCTTTCTAGGCTACTGTGCCAAACGTGCTTCTCATAAAGATGTTGACGCTTTTCCCATGTTGCGTATTTTTACCACTTTAATAATTAGCGCACGTATGCTCATTTCGTTTCAGCGATGAAAGCAAATTTTATATCAGTTCTGCTCTTTTATGTTTTCTATTGCGGTCTTGGAATAAAAGAATGCGTCGCAGATCGCATTTCAAAACGCTCCGACGAACCGATGAAAAGAGTGCTGGACCTGTTCAATGTAACTGCCCCCCAAAAGTCGTAAGTATTAAAGGCAGTGTTCCAACACTGCAACATAATTAATTTCGTATTATTTTGATTGAGACGAAGAGCATGCGAAGAATAAAACATATGCCCTCCTTTGATTCGTTCATAACCCTGAACGACATTTCGAGGATGTTTTTACTGAGCCTGATTAAAGAAAGAGAGACATTGAAAAAGAACTTGGATGTTATGATGCGGACCTTGTGCTATCGAGTGACGTACTTTGCACCGATTGTACGTCACTAGTGAACGCCCGCGTCAGCTAACGAGAAACAGTTCTGTAAAAACAAGTGACGTTGATATACCCACACTAATATAAAAACTATAATCAAAATATTGGAACGTACTGCGTAGTGGCCCCAACTTCTTTTTTTTTGCTTTCTTTATTAATAAAATGATCAGTAAACGTTTCTGCCTTTTTAATCCAGGATATCAGACAAGTGTACGTCCATTTTGTAGGTGGTGAGAAATCTTTTCTAAATGTACAAAATCCACCAAATTTTTTTTTCAAAAATATCAAATAATAGAACATTTTTTTCGGAGCCCACATCGCTATAGATAAGATACTCCAGTTTCTTGAAGAGGTTTAGGGTGAGGACGGAAATCCCGGCTTGAATAAAACTTGGAGATGTTTATCTTGCATTAGAGCTTAGATGGCATGCCAGTGTTTGTGTGCTAGTATACTAGTATGCTTCGTGTGCTAGTATGCATGTGTTCCTGTACTGACGAGTATTGTTCAGCTTTCAGTCCTCGGTACGACGTCGCATTGTCACGGACGTGAACTTGGGTGGTCACCGCCTAGCGGAGATACTCGAAGACACCAACACTACCGACTTCGTCAGCTGTAATCTCATCGGTAGCAAGTGAGTAACTTAGAAGGCACAATTGATTTTTGAAGTATTAAGAAAAGAAAAAAAGGAAAATTCTATAGCATTTTTGTTGTGCTCTACTGTTCTGTCTTTCTCTAGATACAAATCAACAGATTGTTCACATTCATATTAGCAATCAGAATTTATAGACATCAAGTAGGTGAGGTAATATGAGCCTCAATCTGTCTACAGTAAGACCGCTATAACAGAACGAAACTGTGATCAATAATTCACTTCGGCATTACCAGCGTAAGAATGCAGAAGACCTCTCTCTCGTCGATATACGGAGTAACAACCAGCTTTCATTGCCGATAGGCGCCAATAGTGAGTTTTGCGGCTAAACTGAACATGAATCGAAAGCGCATATGAAACGCTTTTAGAATATTGAACAGCTGGTTTGTACAGTATTACAAGGTGGTGCCGACATCTCTGTATTCGTGAATTTAGCATTGAAACACAGTGAAACATCAGGAGAAAGTTAGTAGGCATTGAAGTGTAGCTCTGATGAGCTAATTGAGCTGTCATTTTTTTGTTGCAATGTGATTCTCGCAGGCATAAAATCCATCATACTTTTGCACAAGGCTTGTGCTTTCTTAAATGAGGGGAGGAGGTGCAGTTGATATTCTGAAATATTCGTCTACTATTCGAAAAACACTCATATTTTCGGGTGGCTATTCGATTAGAAGTCTGTATCAGATATTGCAATACTTGGTACGGCATTCACAATAATTTGGCATTCTCACACCTACGGTTTTTAGAGATAATTTGCGTGGACATAAATAAAAAAAGCAATAGTTGTGTTCTTTTTCTAAAGAATTTTATAAGAACAGCTGTGCTATAGGGACCAAACAAAAATTTAAATAAAAACGACACGAGTTATTTTATAAAAAGTCGTAATAGAATAATATTTAATAGTGTCGCTGTGAAAATGTTCTTAGCGCGTCTTTTACCCCCTTTTACAGGAAACTAATCGAAGATGTCTTGAAGTCTATTCCATCTGAGTATGTTACAGACGTATCGGTTGAAGAAATGAACCAGTTCATCGACAAGTGCGCGGACAGGGACACATCACAGGAAGGGTCTTCTCTTTTAAATAGTCTGGGCGATGCATTTCAAAGCCTTGTCATCTTCCCAGGTTTGTATTGCTTGCAAAAATAACCACTACTGCTTATCAGTCTGCATGCATAGAACGTGGTAATAAGTATAAGTTTCCTCAAAACCAGCTGGCATGCTCGGACAACTTCTCTTCTGAATATGAGGTGGATATTTGGTACTTTTCACCTCCTATGGTAACTCAACGGTTATTACCTTGTGCTGCTTTACGTCAGTGCGACAGATTACTCAGAAATGTAAGGTTGAGATCAATATCAACTTGCAAAGTTTAAAAGAATGCACCACAATTTACATTTGTGCTTCCGCTAATTATTACTAACACATACTGAGTGACTGCTCGTTTTTTTTTTGGGGGGGGGGATCCTTACAAGGTTCCGAGATATCAATGATAGTTTCATAAATGATTGATTGATTGATTTGTGAGGTTTAACGTCCCAAAACCACGATATGATTATGAGAGGTGCCGCAGTGAAGGGCTCCGGAAATTTCGACCACCCGGGGTTCTTTAGAATTTCAAAGATGAAGTAGGTGTACATGGTACTCACAGGCTGTACACTTTACAAACAGATTTCTGCTAAAAATTTAATTCTTCTAGATAAATTGACCTGCAAGACAGACCCAAGACAGATTTTTCTGAGAACGTCAAAAAAAAAAAAACTTTCTTTTATTCTTCTGTCTTATATGTAGCATACTGTGAAGTTAGCTGTTTCTGCAGAAATAAACAGAAATTTACTGTGAATAAACATGAATTCTGAATACACAGGAACGAAGTGGTGTGGTGCCGGTGACGTGGCGAAAAATTACGATGATTTGGGAAAGGCCAGCGACACCGACAGGTGCTGCCGGGAGCACGACCACTCTCAAGACAACATACCGCCATTTGGGACGAAGCACAACATAACGAATTACTTACCCTACACAATGTGAGTCAGCTCATTAGACCAATACTGTTTGTTTTACAATGAAAGAAAACGAAGCAAAAAAAATTCGGCAGATCCCACGTGCCTTGGAAATGGACGTTATGCGAAGCATGCGGAGTGAAAGTAACCGCGTTGTAATCTTCTTAATGGGTGTCACGTTATGAAATGACGCTAAATATATGTACAAATGTTGAAAACACAGATATATGTTGAGCAGTTGCAGATGTTTATATAACCAGTTGTTTGCACTTGCGTAACAATGCCAACAGGAACATGAGTACTAGCAACACCAGAAGCGGTAAGCTGACATGAAGTGCTGGTGCTCGCGAGGATAGTAGCCCTGGACACTGCTACGTGAATCAACTTCAGCGCATGGCACCTAACTACAATTCACGTTAACCCGACGTGACGGTTCTATCACAGGAGTACATAAGTCATGTTTATAAAATTTTATAGTCAGCGCTGCAGCCAAAACTGACGTTTCACTAACATCAAGGTTTATTTATTTGAAAAGTAGTTCCGAGACCTGGCATGGCTCTGAAGCAAATTGCTTGATTGCCACGTAGAATTGTGAGGTTCGATTCGTGCTAGTACCCTGACATTTACTCTTCGGATTGATCGTGTCAACACTGCCGACGTCAGGTTTTTATTAGAAATCACACGTTAAAGTTTCTTATGTGTGGTTTTGTCGTTCCTGGGTAGACGCGAATCGTCAAACACCTGTGGCACGTACCCTCATACCAGAGGCACATACGTTCCCGCGGGCATGTGCTGCTGTCTGGCGGGAAGTGTCTGACGAGGTGCGCGACGGGATTGTGCCAATATTCATGTCTTGGCCAGCCCGTCGTATTCGTCAAACCATCTTACCCTCCTTTACTAAATTTGGTTCCCGCTAGTTAAGAGGTTGATCACGAGAGCATCCAGACGTACACGGCTAGATAGATAGATATATTACAGCGAAAGCTGTTATGAAATCACAACTCACGTTTCGCGCGGCTCCGTAGTTGTCCACCGCCACCGGTGTCCATAACCACATCGCGCGAATTTAGCAAGAGACCTAGTACCAATGACACAGGGGAGAGAGTACCCGGGTCCGCTAGGTGTCAGCCCAGTATTCTACCACTGAGCCAAGCCGATGCTTGTAACTTGTTGGCGAACTTGCTTTAGGCAGGCTTGATTTCGAGAAAGCAATCACGTTATTACGACTTATAAAGTGTTTCAAAACAACGAAAGAACGAGCAGTCGTCGCACAATGCGAATGGCGTAACGAGTGGGTCGTCCAATGCTCCAACCCAATACAAAAGCTTGTTTTGATTCAGCTATTAACTGTGGAGCACACCCCCTCCGGGCATAATTACTCATCGTCGTCAATCATTGCATGAATGATTTTCACAAGATTCCGCGTAATAGTTTTGCGGATACCAGGCTTCTCAAAAGAATGATGAAAAATAGTACAGCGAATGCCGGCCTACTACCCTAACATTTTTAGTATTAATGCCGTAGTGGGCATCAAGGAAGTGTGCATGCAGCAGTTACCTATATAATGAGTATTTAGAAAAGGCTATGAAACTTCTAGCTTGCGCTGTGACTGTGCTGCGTCTTCCGCGCAGGCCTGGCGTTTTTTCAGTGATTGATTGATTGATTCATTGATTGATTGATTGATTGATTGATATGTGAGTTTAAGGTCCCAAAACCACCTTATGATTATGAGAGACACCGTAGTGCAGGGCGGCGGAAATTTCCACCCCCTCGGGTTCTTTAAGCTGCACCCATATCTGAGCCATGGGCCTACAGCATTTTCGCCTCTATCAAAAATGCAGCCGCCGCAGCCGGGATTTGATCCCGCGACCTGTGGTTCAGCAGCCGAGTACATTAGCCACTAGACCACCGTGGCGGGACGAGATAGATAGATAGATAGATAGATAGATAGATAGATAGATAGATAGATAGATAGATAGATAGATAGATATCAAAAGTGTTTCCATTACGCAAAGAAATGCTTTGCATTTAAAATTCCCGGCCAAAACTTCATATTAAATATCAAAGAGCAAGGGTTTTAACTAACTAACTAACTAACTAACTAGCTAACTAACTAACTAACTAAGTTCTTAAGACGTTTATTGGTGGCCACTCCGCGATGATGCACGACAGTGACAGTCAAGGTGGGGACCTACTAGGTGCACGAGCTGCTCTTTTTTCTACGAAGTGCGCGACCCACTGGAAGGTTCTGCAGAAGACGATCCACTGTTTGAAGGCTTCGCTACAGAGTAACTAACTAAGGATAACCTTTCTTGGCTTAACACGTAATTTCCAAGGAACACAACAAAACGTCTGGACCACATCACTTTAGGTAAAGAACTGACTGAGCGAACAGGCGGGTGAGTCTATCTGTAGCCTTTAGTGCAGCGCTTTTTCACGTCTCAGTGACGTCAGGTACATGGATATTTCCCAATTGTTCTTCGTCCGTTCCTCCAGCTATATATATATACAACGTGCTGTTCTCAAAACTTTAACGAGCTTAATACAAAGATATGACTCTACTTTAATATAGCTTAGAATATGTGTGACTTTATGTACCCGATGAAAACGTTGTAAAATGACATAAAGCAGCTTAGAAAGCATTTGCGCGGAGCTTTAGGAAGGTAGACAGTTGTGAAAACAGCTCTGACGCTCACGAGAAAGCCTTTCCTGAACTTGAGCTGCTTGTGCCTCTGAGATGGATTAAAATTTAGTAAATAATTAAATATATACATGAAAACACGAAATGAATCAATAAGGGAAAGGGTGCGGCTTTCTTCTCCCATGAACAGCGGTTCATGATGTATACGGGTGTGGTTGTTCGACCATACAGCAATGCAATATGACATGAATTAACTCCCATTTCTTTCCGCCCAGGAGCACTTTTTCACTTTTGAAGTTTCAAAGCAAACAAGACTCACGTGCTATAAAGTCCCAAATTCACTAAAACATGTACTCACGAATATTCTTTGCTCTTGTTAACCTGTTTAAAAAACGTTGCAACTTATGTAGTGCGTAGGAAATAAATATACCTACAAGTTGCCCTTCATTGCCGGCAGTGCGGCTGCGCAGCTGAGTTTAACAAGACCGCTGTGTTGATGAGGCACAGAGACCAGCGTACGCGTGAAATTGCTGAAGCGTTTGGAATCATTAAAGCAGGAAACAGGCGCGTGAGCCAGCCTTAAGTCGCTCTCACAGATGCTGAGATTTCATATCTACAGCATTCTTTATCACGTGCTTGGTGTAGGGTGTAAATGTTTCTTTAGGCCTTCATGTTTACATATATATGACACGTTACTTCCATTAAATTTTCAGTTCTTATAATGCACTTGTGTCGTGCACTTTCGTGTGTTTTTTGCTCCTTTTTGTGCGCTGTTCGTGTTGAATATTACGGCAAATACAATATATATTTTAATGACCATTTCAGGACCGAGTGCACTTACGACAAGCAGTTTTTCAACTGCCTACAAAATGTCAGCAGCCTGGCGTCAGTGACGGTAGGAGTCTTGTTTTTCGACGTGCTAAAAACGAAGTGCTTCGAGTACGGCTATCCGAGCGAGTGCACGGAACACAACTAGTAAGTGCCCTCTGTGTTTCTTTTGTGACCCTCATAGGCATGCCCAGTGTTTTCTACTGTAGAGCGTGGAGAGACATGGGCGTAAGCAGAATGTTTTTAGTGAGAACTGGAAGAGGGGGCTCCTTGAATCGGAGTCGGAGCTGGGCAAGCAGATGTGGCCTACGACCTCTTTGTGCTCCATATGCGATGGCGAAAAAATTCAGGGTGGGGTAGGGGGACACGAGATCGGTGTTCCACAATCTGGCTACGCCAATGGAAGGGGGTACGTTTTACAGCAGCGCCTGCCCCTTTTCACTTAGTGCAGTGATAGCGGGGGCGGAGATAAAAGAAAAGCTGAAACTTGCGCTAGTTGGTATTCACCTAACTACGTAATGTTGCACACAACAAAACAAGGACAGAGAAAGATGCACACGAGATGACCACTGGGTGCGAACACACAGCTGCGAAAAAGCAGTGTTGCTTTTTTCAAAGTTTGCGACAACGCAGGGGCTAATCTCCGGTCTTTTGGTGGTCAAGGTGCAAAGTAGAGAGCTGTTTAATGCAATGTGACGAGTCCTCAGCGTTCTTTATTCTCCGAAGCCAGCGAACCCTTAATTTTACGCCTATAAAAACTATTGGACAGGACCGAATGAGTGGAAGATTGAAACCGACTAGCCTCCTCTTCCCTCTTTTGTGGGAACGCGTATGGTGTCAGCTCTTTAATCTATGCACTTATTTACTCAATTTATGCAAGTTTGTTACAATATAATGATCAAGGCATACTCAGTAAAATATGAAGTAATTATAGAAAGTAATATTATTTTGGTCATTTTGGGTTAGAATTATACGGTCGATTATCAGTTTAACATCGTTCGGACATCAGGTTGAACCCCTTGAAGTTTTACGTAGCCGCAGAGTGTGTTCTCGTAAGATTGGTAGATTGTCGAAACATATTGTATTCTTGTAAACACTTTAAATTCTGTTTTATTTCTTGAAATATCGTAACTACTCCAGCGTAGCGATGAAATAAGGTATTTCATAATAATTTTTCGCAATTAATATAACAGAACTGAAAAATGGAGTGGTATTAAAATTTTTATATTGTTTATTGGTTTCGTTCGTAAAAACGCCGTTTGCGCTTGCTAGTCTCGCGAACCGACGACTAACAATAAAATAATAGTAGCACAATTCTAATAATATTGTTCAAAGATTGCATGCAGATCTTTCAACATGGTCATGTATATAATAACAAAATATATGCTGCTACTGACAAAACCTCGTCGATGAGCTGAGCGGAGTCTTGCATCAGCACAGCCGCCTTTATGCTCTAACCCATTGCCTCAAGCAACACTAAGCGACATTTTTTTTTTGTTCAGCTGGCGCCTTTTTTACTAAAAAACCCTTGCGTCGATGAAGAGCCGGACACGTCCAAACCAAAGGAGTGGCACATCGAGAGCCCACCGAACTTTTTAGAGACATACATCGAGGAAAAGCAGAACGAAACACGTAAGGAATCTTCGGAGTCGGAGGAGAACGAAGTTTAATCCTCAACGAAGCAAAAGTGTGGTTTCTATTAAATTATAACAAATTTCGCTGTGGTTCAGTGTAACCGAGTGTGTAGCTTGGTGATGACACAGATATATTCTTATCAGCAGACAATACAGATTGCCTTCACGGAAGGTATACTTGAGAGCGCGAAGAATAGATGAAGGACGAAGAAAGGACACACAGAATAGCGTTGTGTGTATGACAGCTCTTCTCTGTGTCCTCGTTCTTCGTCCATTTCTCACGCTGTCGATATCAGCTAGCCCAAGCCTTCACGTTAAAACCTCACAGAGCCCCTTAGGCATTCGCCTCAGACGACTCGGATATAAGAACTGCATCTTTTTCTACTGAGTGGATGTTCTGATGATCTCTAGGCTCCCTCTGAAAGCATTTTGCCCGTAAAATGCCTTTACACTGCCACCACGATCGGCCTGCCTTCAAGGATGCATTGATGTCCTGTCATGATGTCGGCATGTGATGTCATAGTTACTTCGTGGTGACATCGTAAATTACGGTGATCTGTGACGTTATGATGACGTCATATTGTGACGTAATCACGTAATGATTATTTTTTCGCACAACTCTTGTTGGAGCGTTGACGCCGACGGTCAACTTTCGCGCTCAATGAAACACCTATAGGGCTTCGCTTCAATAATACTTTTACGAGTATTCGCCGGCTAAATTTAGTCGACGTATCAACATTTGCCATAATTACAGGTGCCATTCTGGGATGTTCAATGCCGTGATTGCTTCGTATTATGTTGAGAGAAATTGAATGTGTAGTAGGGGAGAGGGGTGAAAAAGGCCCCGTGCGTGTGTCCTGTCTGCGAGAGATATCTTGTGCTTGTTTAATAAAGTCCTGCTGGCCGCTCCCACTCGAGGTCATAAAAAATTTCGCGTCCCCCCAACAAGACTTGCTAATTCAAGAGTATTTTTGACAGTTTTGCGAAATACCTTGCTGTGGCCATCGAGCTTGAGTGAAGCAAAAGCTTCATTGATATCGCCGAACGCAGCGGAAATCCCCAAACTTAGCACATTCATTAGACGCGCGTCTTGTTTTGGTATGTTAATTAGCAGTTTAATTAGTGCGCTATGCAATAAAGAAAGCAAGGGCACATGCTACGACGGAGAAGCTCTTCGATAAAGGACTTGAATCAGCAACAAAGTTTGTGATGCAAAACTAAGCTAAAACGAATGATAAGGGGCTTATTCAGTGAAGACAATGTAGCCACGCGCTGCCACCAGCTCGTTCAAGCGACGCATACCGAAAAGAATGGAGTCACGATGCGCGAGGAAAAGAAGAAGGCGTTAAGAAAGCATCCGCAATATTTATCGCCGCGCGCTGACGTGAAACATGATTCTCACGCATCAACTGCATGGGAGCCTGTCAGGGGTCTTTCCTTCGGACACCATCATTATATTGGGCGATGCCTGTTCCCGCACCACGAAGCCTTCAGCCACTCGCTTAGCGAGGAAGCTCTCGTCCTTCCGCAGCTTTCAACAAGCGACAGCTGCTAGTTTATTGCCCAGACAAGCGTGCTTGGGCGATGGCTGAAAAGTCCTCGATTGAAACGCAGAAGCAGAAAGAAAGTAGAGAGAAACCTCATACTATCTGACATGAATCCTGAAAGAGTCAAACAGTTGACTTATTGACAGCCCACTCGTGTACTTTGACATGCTGTAAGGCATTTAAAGGCTCGCGTGCACTGCGTGACAAGAAGTGAAATGTATTTTCCCAGAGCATCATTTCAATCGCTAGTTTTGCAATAACGGGGAAACAGCAAGGAACGACTGTGCAGTGACTGTGGTTCCATTCCTCCAACGAGGATTCTCCTGGGGAGACCCGTAAGAGAGACGCGTAATAAACGCACGAGCCAATTAGGAATCACCGGGATTAGATTGCGTTAGAAATGAAATGACAATGATGTTCTCCAAGATAGCCTCAACTTGACTGTGGGTTTGCGTCCCAGATTTACAATTATCGGTTGCTGAAATGATAGCCGAGAAAGACGTGTTGATGATAGCAGCGCCACAACTGCTACTACATTGGCTTTACATGTTCGGCTGCTGAACCGAAGGTCCCGGGTTCGAATCCGCCCGCGGCGGTTGCATTTAGATGGACGCTAAATGTCAGTGCACTTTAATGAACACCAGGTGGTCGAAATTTCCAGATCCCTTCACTACGGTGTTTTTCGTAGGCGAATTAAACAACAACAACAACAACAACAACAACAACAACAACAACAACAACAACAACAACAACAACAACAACAACAATAAAATAATGGTCACGCTAGCTTTACACCTCACGTTTACAGTGCCGTGGCCACTACATTTGTTTTATGAAGCGGCCGTGACAGTGCACCCGATCGTGCACTGATGGTTCGGGTAGTAATGATTCTTATGCACCATAATTCGTCCCACTATATCTAAGGTCAGAGCGAGCACTCAGATCACCCAGAGTAACGTGTTTCACTTCGCAGGACCATCTTTCTATCACATGCTCCTTTTGCTTGATAACACGGACACAGAGTGTTCAGAAAGAGAGAGAGAGAGCGCGAGAACGGGTTGTTTTCAGCAATTCGGCAGCCACTCTAGCACAACAACAACAACAACAACAACAACAACAACAACAACAACAACAACAACAACAACAACAACAACAACAACAACGACGACGACGACGACGACGACGACGACAACAACAATGACAACAAACACAATGTCAACAACAACAACCACAATGACAACAACAACAACAACGACGACGACAACAACAACAACAACAATGACGACGACGACGGTGGCGACGACAACAACAACAACAATGACAACAAACACAATGACAACAACAACAATGACAACAAACACAACAACAACAACAATAACAACAAACACAACAACAACAATAACAACAAACACAACAACAACTACGACAGCAATGACAACAAACACAACGACAACAACGACAGCAATGACAACAAACACAACGACGACAACGACAGCAATGACAACAAACACAACGACGACAACGATTACGACGACGACAACAACAACAAACACAACGACAACAACAAACACAGGTAAAGCTTCCCTGTTTGCAGTTTTATTCCGCGAAAAGCTCAATTAACAGATGAAAGCAAGTGCGATCAGCCACGATATGACAGAATATTAGGCGATATAATGGCAAGGTGAAGTTCGGTGAAGCCCTATAAGACAGCGGATGCAGCTGAGAGTCAAATTTCGTCCTTGTATTTCACGCAGTTAAATCTGTTTACTCATGAAACAGATATCCCACCATCACAGCGTAAATCAACAATTTAAGAGTTCAGAGTTATCTTCTTCCAGATATTTTAACGTAACTATTAGTACCTTGACTGAGAGTGAGAACAGCAAACATGAATCACTATGTCACGTGCGTATTGGTATACAGAATCTTGTTCAGTGGCCTTGCCTGGGTGGATGAACGGGTGGGGTAAGACCCGCCCCCCTCTCCCCTTGCCGGAAATATTTATATGGAGAGAGAGAGAGAGAAAGAATATAAGAAAGGTAGGTTGGTTAACTGAACTAAGTCCCATTTGCTACTCGTGGAAACACGCGCACGGTCATGCAAAAGAGAGTTTGGTTATTCTCCCGTCTCTTCTTCTTTTATTTATGGCGTGATGTTTTGGCTGTGGTCCTGCCTTATAAAGAAGGTAACTGGGCTTCAAATAGCAGTGTTATTGCGGTTATTAAGATGGAGATAGGTACTACCACTTGCTAGAGTACGCGAGACTCGAAGAGAAAGAAAGAGTGACAGAGAAGACGAAAGCATGGCGTTTAACCAGCTGGCAGAATGCGATATGCTACCCTGCAGTGAGTCGGGGGAGATGTGATTAAAAGAAGAGACACTGGGTAAACTCCAGTCTTTCGTCTTCACTGTCTCTCTCTCTCTTCGAGTCTCGCACATTGTAGCAAGTGGTAGTGCCTATCTCCGTCTTAATAACCATAAGAACATTGCCATTTGACACCCGAAACTTCCCCAAATGCACTGGGAACAAACCTTGCTTTTAGATACACGCGCATTAGACTTGAAAAGGGATTCGTAGTCCATGTACAGGAGCAGGCCTTGAGAAGAAAAAAAGCTGTTTTCAATAATAAAAAAAAAACAATACATAGAAAGTGCAAATATCAGGTGGATCTTATACTTTGTCACCTTGTGATTGTTCTCTAATTGATGCAGCCGTAAGCTGATTCTCAAATTAAGTATTGTCTTTCAACTGCTTAGCAATCTTATTCAAGGTAGACATGATTATATATATACCGAACCGTATACACATCTTTACTGAACTTGTTCACAGAACTATGCGTTCATTTAGTTACTTATATTTATATGAACACAGTTTTATCTTGTGTTGCGTCGTGCATTAGCAAAGTGCTGCATTTTCTTTGCCACAGTTTGTAAAAACGTATTTTCCCGCTGAAAGTATAGCAGTAAGTAGCAAGCTCTACTTAAATGCGTCAGCATTATTAATAGCACATGCCAATAAAAAGAGCACACGGTGAGGATGAAGTACAAACGAAGATAGAAAAAAAAGTCAATCGATAGTTTACCACAGGGACTCTCTGCTGAGTTATTGTCAATTTGCGCATACGTAAGCATTATTAGGGTGAAACCTTCAAGTGTATATGTTAGCGCTCTCCTCCACGACTTTAGCGCTAGGGAACGCAGAAAAGAAATTTGCGTGACTTCGCGGTACATTTGGTAGAATCGTCCAAAAAACCCACGTGACTCCTCAGTGACTAGGGTGTGAAGAAGAAACGACTTCTTGTGACGTCATCGTGACTTCACAGGCCACCAACATTTGTGACATCTTCATGACATCGCTATATGATTTTACATAATGTGGCCATAGAACAACGGCCAACATTATCGTCATTTAGCCAACACTGTTAACGTCAAGCCAAATGTAGCTGACTGTCAGACTATTTTGCCAAGAGAGAGAGAGAGAGAGAGAGAGAGAGAATAAAATAAGAGAGGGCAGAGAAGTTAACCAGAAACAGGGCATCCGGTTTGCTACCCTG